AGGCCCAGGACCATCAGGTAAATGTTGAATCTTTGTACTTCTATTTAAACCCTAATTTCAACCGGAGGTAAACAAGGTGCACAATCTCAATCAATATTTATGTGAGGACTATTTAGCAATACACATGCAAAAAATTGAGATGACAATCGACATTGAAATCGTATTTAGCCTATAAAATTTGTTGTGTTAAACCGCCTTCTTCAATATCATCGCTTTAAATATAGCTTTGCTAATTAATACCTTTAAACCAGTGTGCATTTTTGTTTCTTGTAAGGAATCATGTCAATATCACTCAATGTTTTAAATTCTCAACAGATCCAGGACCCACTGCTGGTCAAGCACCTGGAGGCCGGGTGACGACACCACCAATATCACACATCCCGAGATCGACTGCAGTCCCGACGATAGCGCCGTCGCCTACGACAACTTTCTGTCCGTCATCGTGCCCTGTCGTTCTCGACTTCATCTGCGGGTCCGATGGCCAGACCTACGCCAACGAGTGCGTGCTAAGCGTAGTCCGATGTACCACCGGCGACACCACCTTAGCAATCATGTACAAAGGCCAATGCCAGGTTCAACCTCTGACTTTCTCCGATCCTTTACACCCCTGGGGAAGCAGAGATACTGATTTACCAACGGATCATGAAATTCCTTTACCACTGTCGGCACCATCAACGTCATCGTCGTCCAAAATGAAACCCATCATGAATATCAAGGAAGCATTAAATTATTGGAGAGACACGAGGAGGTCAACTAGGTCGAGTTTTCAAGAAAATTCAACTCGTTGATGTTACTAGTAAATTGACTTCATGGCTGAAAGCAATTTCTGGTCATAACTGTGTAATGACATTGATTGATTGATTGAACCAAGTACTATTTCGTTTGATATTTTGAAATAATCTAAATATGGACATTTTTATAATAATACTGTTCCTAGTTTTAATCGACGAATCTCGTATATAACCCTTCGTTTCATCTGCCTGACCATCATACCCTCTCTTGTAAGCTGTATTGTACAAGCATTGCCGGTTTACTCACATTCAAAAATAAATTGCCTTCTTCAAGAGGAAAAATTATCTCGAAATCAACGCCCGCAACATAGTTACTATGAACTAAAAAACACAAATTTGCAAATAATATTGCCCGTAAAGGAATATAATAGTGCCCACACACGATTATGCACTTCCCCCTCTTGTCTTTGTATATCTATAAACGGGCGCTATTCTAATAAATTAAGTTAGCTTCTATGTTAACTGTCATGTAAAGTTCCAGAGTAAACATATTCTTAACATACCTCTAGTGAATCGGCATTCTGAAAACTATATTCAAGAGTATGTTATTTTCTTTTTTTAGGTTACGCCCATTTTTCATTGATTCTCTAATGAGATGCACTGTTAGAATGTACGCTCACTCTCAGGAAATCACGTTGTTTAATGTAATGTAATGTAATTATGCTACCCTTCGCCAAGATGTATTTTAATATTATGAAGTTTATTTATTGTCCATTCAGTGTAAGTAGATTAACTATAACAATTGGGAACATTCTATATCAGTTGTCATAGCAACATATTATTGTACATGTATATTATTTACCCTAATGTGTCTTTTGGAATATTTATTTGATTAGAGATTGAATACGCTAATGAACATGGCGTCTATGAGTTTCGATTTTGTAAAAATAATAGTCGATATGCACTTGAAATTTCGTTTACTTTGGAATACGGAGATAGTGGGAAGTTAAATTAATGTTTCACAATCCTTCATAGACGCAAGCTTTTTTTTAGAAGAGAATACTATATACTAATACTTCATTAAGTATTTTTAGGAAGGAGTCGTCATCTGCCACAAATAACACATAATAGTATAGCGAATGTTAAATCCCTTTCTGTAATATATGGTCTAAAACTGATATGTGCCTCACTCTAATAAGGGAAGACAACGTATATGGTAAAGTTTTTAGAAATATGTGACCATGCAAATAACTGTTAAAAGATACATTTAACGTGAATTCATGTGCTTTCACCATTGTGCTTTACCGATTTTCTGTTAGTGTGAGATACCATTGCATCTATGCAAAAATTGGTATATATATATATTATATAAATATTTGGCTAAAAGCTATGTTGATTATCATGAGTAGGCCTATGTGCCTACTACTACTCTTGGTTTTTCTCTCGATCACGTTTAATTTTATACGAAACGTCAAGTTAGAACTAAATGAACTGATTAAATTTAAAAGAAATTATTTTGAAAACAACTTTTATGTACAGGCGGCATAATCATATTATAAGCGTTTTTAGAATTACGATATCTTGTTAGCAATTAAAACTCCCACACAACGGCCCTGGTAAATATAGCAATGTATATGATTATCTAAATAATCTGGCAAGCGACTGAAAAAAGTACAGACCTATCGAAAAATGTTATTCCCAACCTGGAAATTAACTTTCTTTTGGTTATCAATTCAAGGCTGACATGTTGTTAAACACAGAAAATGTGATAGCAAAATACAGGAACATAGTATACACAGCCATGTATGATGCTAAGTGGAGGGGGTGGGAGAGAAAACTACCGTACTGTCAAAGCGTGATCGTAATGACAATTCTCTTCACTTACACCCACAATAAATCAAGGGCCTTTTAAAGTAATGTATTTGTTAGAGAAGAAAAAGTCGTGTATTATTGAAAAATATGTAAAATATATGTTAATTTAGAACACGCATAGCTTTCATTGGGTAGCTACCCAATGAACACAGGATTGAGTTATTAGCCATCATATGGCATTTTCCTCTTGCAAATACGTTGTATGTGGATGATCTTATTGTAATTCACATAATATTATGATTCTTTAATCAATGTTCTTTATAAAAAAATGAAAACGATAGATATTTATTGTGTCAAGAATTCATACGAAATTACAAGCAGTTTACTTGCGTACCTCATTATCACAATTTGGTTGTTGTCAGTTGATCAGAGAAAGACGGTTGGTTATGGGGAGGGGGGTATAAGGACGGTGCCAAAGAAAGGAAGTATAGAGAAGAGAGAAGGACTTAGATAAATGAAAGAAGTGAGACAGACGGAGAGGGGAAGGTAGCGGAGAAAGAGAGGGATAGAGAGAGAGAGAGAGAGAGAGAGAGGGGGAGAAGGGAAGAAGAAGAGAGAGGGTTAAGAGATGAAGAACGTGGAAAATAGGGAAGAAGAGAAGGAATGCGCGAAAACGAAATAAACGATGTATAGAGAGCATATAAAGAAAAAGAAATGTCATTTTACTAGACAAGATTCGCATTAGTGACAGAGTAACGAATACTCATCCCAGCTAGTGCACCCACCCCAAATCAATGATATCTCATGCTCCTGCTCGACAAATCTGCCTCTTTCTGATCCTACTGCTTAGTGATTGCATCCTAATCTTGTCATCACCTAATTCTCGGAGTGCTAGATTGGGATCACTGCATCCGGCAAAAACAAATTTCCACTGGAGAACTTCACGAGTAGTGACCTTGCATTTAAGTTTTTTCGTGCTAAAAATATTTATTTTGTTCTGAAATATGGGAAGCATGATTAGTTTAGGCATGTATAATTCATCTCTCGTGCTCATCTCCTCTCCTCGAATATTACATCCACGTGTCTTCAATTCCTAACGCAGAAAGGTAATATATTTCCATGTATCTTTGCAACAGCACAACATCATTATCTTCAATAACCTTTCATATACGTGGACATGTATTTTTCTCCATTTTTGTCAAGTTACATGAAAGAAAGCAGATCTCTTCATCGCATCCTCACTCCTATCTCCCTTTCTCCTCTCTTCTCTTCTATTTTTCCTGTGTAATGATTCTTAATTAATGTTCTCTCTTTGTCTTCTCCTCCCCCCCCCCTCTTTCTCTCTCTCTCTCTCTCTCTCTCTCTCTCTCTCTTCTTGTATCACCGCTCCGCCAAGTTTCTTTAGAGCCCTCTCTCCCTCTGTTCTCCACCTTTTTTATGTTTTCCTTCATTCTCTTGGTTTCTTTCGAGATTGTTGTTCCTTCTTTTCCAACCCTTCCTCAACAGTTATCTTGGCCTTGTGAAAGACTTCTTCACTACTTCTTGCATTAATGCTCAACTTGCATCTGCCATGATGAATCATACTCCAAAGATGTGAAATAGCGATTATTCAATTCAAAGTGTCTGAATTCACTTTCTTTAAAGCCCATCTGCACTAGTTTGGCCAGGGGGGATTAGACCTCCCTGCAAGGCCACTGACAGGTGGTCATATCTTATCAAATCAGCTCTCAATTATCATAAGAAAAAGGGGATCATGGGGGACCAACATACACCGATAAAGCATTGTTTGCTATATAGAGGGCGCAAGTAGCTAGAAGTAGTGCAATGGGGCTTTAAATGCACTGTTCATTTTGCACCATTGGAAACAAAGATTTTAGAACCAGTATTGTATTTGATGGGACGAATCACTGACTACATAATGATGAAGGAAGAGGCTCTTAAAGGGATCATTTAACAATGTGAAATCTGAGAAACATGCAAGGACCTACGTGCTATCAGTGTTTGTGATATGGTGTAAATTGAAGCCCTAAAAAAGTTGCGCTTCAAAATGTTTGGCAAACGGTTTGCAAAATTCGTAATTCCGATCATAAATATTTTGATAATCAGACAGGCGATCGGCTTGAAAAAGTCATGGGGTTCCTGACTGACCTAAAGGTTCATTATTATAATTGCAGCATGAGCTAAATCTAGAATTTTGTTTCAGAATCTGAGACAAAGTTACCGGATCCCTTTAAGAGAAAAAAAGAGCAAAATTCATAACCTGTAAAGATAAGAAGGTATCTGTAGTCAGTTCAGAAAACGGGAAGAGAGGGGAAATTCAATGAGCTGCATGCAACTGCAGATAGAGATTTGCGGGGTGGGTGGCCACCTTTCTACCAAAAATGAAGGAAAATAGGAACACAAAAACAACTAAATTAAATAGATTCCATTATCTAAAAAAAATTCTTCACTAGAATATCATTTGTTTTTCTTTTAATTTCTATCATTAGATATGGCATACACATCATGTTTAATCAGTGAAACAATCAGATTACTCAAAATGAAAACCACTTGGCAATAGACATCTGAAAACTCTTAAAATCTATAGTCAATAAGGAATAATTCTGACATTCATGTATATCACAATAATTGCATACATGCCTACATCCACAATCTAAAATTATTTGTTGTCTTTAGAATACAACAGTTTTCTTTTTCACTGATTTCATGAAAAATGTATTTCCATACCATGTACATATTTGAAGGATCAAGCTTTGTTGCAAAGGGTTGCATAATAGATTGTCTATATTTATTTTACTATCTATGTCAATAAGAGGTTGATATGGATTACAAACAATGCAGCAGTAACAGGCAAACATGTCATGTACAATGTAAAAGCCTCAGAATATGATTTCAGTATTGAATGAGCCTCAAACAAACTAGGTAAGGGTGAACCACATTGGCAAGATGGGAATAATCCGGATTGCACATGTTTATCAACGAGAAAGACAGGAACAATTTGGGATGAACATATTGCTTAAACCAGAAAAATAGGACATTTTGGATTGAATAAATTTATCAAATGAGAAAGTTAGGAGTAGTCTAAAGTGAATTATGTTGATCAAACCAAAAAAGCAAGAGTAATCTGGACTATGTTCTTCCTTGTAACTCGTTTGTATCTTCAAATTGTGTAAATTAAGGTAAGAGAGCATAAATGTTTCCTGAGAACATAAGCTGAATAGATTGAGGACATTTTACATGAGTGAAGTGAAAGGTACAATATAGTACTGATTAAAAAAATATATATATTTCAAATGATACAAACAAATATATTCCCAGCATCCCCCATTTGATGTGATTGGTACTCGAGAGATTATTTACTAGTCATAATCACCATTCCTTTCTTTGCTTCAAACTAGATATTCATTGTACATGTATATGAACTTAAATTCAATGACCACACTAGCATACAGGTGCATGTTCTTAATCTTGTACTCAACTCCAAATCAGAGAATAATATTAATATCTAGAAACTTGATTGACATCGAAAATCATGAACATACATTATAAAAGTAAGTAAGTATTCATTTAGAGGAGACAGTGCTATATACATATATTTTTGGGATACAAAGTATTTACATCATTTTGTCAACCTCATGATAGATTCCTTGGCACAAAATGGCTATCATTCATAATTAAGTACAGTGACAATGGTAGAAAGAACCTTAAAAAAGATTATACCTAGAAATGTAAGGCTTTGAGAAAGACTTGAATGCAATATCCATAGATTACTATACATGCATACATTCTATAAAGTAGAATTTTAACATCATAAAGAGGTAAGAGACAACAGGCACTGAAAACATGAATTTTGTGATAGAAATAACAGTATTTTTATCAATATACTTTAATTAAATTCAATCATTTTCAATATCATTGATACCATATAAAAAATATCCCTATTTCATTCAAAGACTAAAATGCAGAATTATGAAAATCATGGAAAGACAGGGAATGACTGCATGGCCATACTCTCAATACCACACTCATCGGTACCCCTTAGGATCCTGAAGTAACCCCCTTCACCCCATCCAGTACCCCAGCTGTTCTTCACAGTCCAGAAACTCATCCCCGATGCCTCATCCACCCCATACCCGACCACCAGCACGGCATGGTTGGTCAGCTCAAAGGGGTCAAACTTCAGCATGGAGTTCTTGACTCCAGTGTGGTGATACACGCCCCCTTTATAGCTCATGAAGTCCCCATAGACCTGAAAACCGACGGCGATTGGGCCGTTGTTGACCAGGGCGAGGCGCATGAGCTCTTCGTTGCAGGCCCCGTAGAAGCCCCCGATGTACTGGTAGTTGGTGGCATAGTATCTGCGGCATCCAGGCTGCTCCTTGCTGCAAGCCGAATCAACTCCTTGATAAGGGTAACACGATTCCTCCACCACACCAAAATCCTCTGCATACTTACCGGCTATTAGATAGGGAAACCCTCCTTCACATCCTATGGAGAAACCAAAGAAGTGATACCTCGATCAGTCACACTACCAAATCATCAATTCTAAAGATATACAAAGAGACCAATCCTTGGCCATTTTGCCCTGGATTCAGTCAGACTGGTATGATTGGGAAATAAATATGATTTTGGGAGCATATCACAACAGGACAAAGAATTTGAATTACCAAAAACATGAATCATCATGTAATTTTTAATTGGATTGATTGACTTGATTGAAAATTTCATGCAACAAACTTTAAATCCTATCATTCCAAGCTATATGAGACATGCACATCTCTCTAAGACTAGTTTGTGAAACCTGAGCCCTGTCTTACAAAGAGTTGAGATTGATCCAAATCAATCGTGAGTCCTCTAATCAATCTCAAGTTTGCAGTCTCCAATCTCTTATGTACATAGTTGCATTTGATATCAATCACAAATAAGTTGTGACTAATATTAACTCTTTGTAAGACAGGGTGAGGGTCCAGGCCTTACAAGTAGTGTGAAAAAATTTTAGCATGGCAAATTCACTTAAATTCATCTAATCACTCCTTTGTAACAAAGGCATATACCTAGAAAAACCTGGTAATGCCTATGAAATCTATATGTAGCTCATGGATGAAGCATAGGGGAATGAGAAAATTCAGCAGTCAGTATTTTAAGATTCCAACTTGGTACGGCCGGGAGCCGCACAAACAAACATACCCTGTGCATATTCACTGCAGTCCACCACATCCTGAGGTGCAAACACTTTCTGGACCGTGTTGTTGGTCGCTATGCGCAGTCTCGCTTCCAGCATCGCCAGGGCAGCAAAGGAGAAGCAACTTCCACACTGAGCCTGGTTTCTGACTGGTGATACAAAGTTCTGACCGTTGAGATCCCTCCAGTCAAAGGACTCCGGCAGTGAGAATGCTGCCTTTGATGCCTCTGCTGTGACAGGTGCAGGGTGAGGTCTATTGAAAAAGAAAGGAAAAAAGAGGAAAAATAATTAGAGACAAATTTTGTTGGTTGTAGATATATTTGATTACATAAAGCCATACCATTTAATACAGCACAAATCATTATACCTTGCTATATGGAAGTAGTGATTATGAATTCTATATGATCTGTTAAAGCCTATATTCTAATGTTTACATTCATATTCATTCAAAATATTAATTTTGAATTACATAATGTAGAGGCAGTGATTTTCTTAGCTTTCTACTCCTGCAGTATGTGCAATTTGTAGTGTGATAGATATTGACAGATGAAATTTAAAATGACACTAAAAAGTGACACTGTACCTCTATGGTTTAAGGATATAATGCCACGATAGCATCAGACAATCATCAAAGAAAGGGGTTTGCAGCTGGTTCACCATCCTTTCCGTCCACTGGTCAATCTATTCTCCTCCCTCCTCTCTCTTCATCTCTCTTTCACTATTTCCCTTTGTATTTCTGTTATACTGTAGCCTTTTCTCATTTAGCCCTGTATAGCATAAAACTCATCCAGGATTCATAAAGCCTGCTAGAAACGGATCAAAGAAGGAAGAATGTGACCCCAAAAGTGTGTATTAAAGTAAGTTGTTACAACTTATGTGGAAGACATTATTCTGCATTTATTTGTTTATTTCTTTTTGAAATGTATATACAGTACATGGGGAGTATTTCACAAAGACTAAGATCGACTTTAAGTTGGACTTAACTATGGCAGGCTGTTCATGCCACTAGTTGCTCTCACCATTGGTCTCTCAATTATGATCTTTAGATAATATTTTTTTCCTTCAATAATGAACTATCAAAAAAGGTAAATTCTGTAGATTTGTGACCATGATTTGTACGTCCCTTGAGAAATCAATGCTAGGAATGGTTAGAGGAACTAGTGGCATGAAAGGCCTGCCATATTAAGTTCAACTAAAAGTTGATCTTAGTCTTTGTGAAACGCTCCCCTGATCTTATTTGTCCAAGCATACAAAGCAATATACACACATTTTGGACACACAGTAAGTAATGTAATCAAGGTTGATTTATTATCATATAAAAATACACATACAAAAATGTTTATGCTTTGTCCAAATTGTATGAAAGAATCATCATGGTAATTCACCAACCAATACAAAACAAAGATAAGATGAGAAATGTCTGCAAACCATGCAAAATAGGCTGTACATGATACCACTCTTTATCCAGTATCTTTGTCATGTCATCTCTTTATTGGCATTTGTAATTAATCCTAAATTTTTTTTTCTTTAATACAATCATTTAACAAACCATTTTATCTTTATTTCAGTAAAGGACAGATTAAAAAACAAGACTATGGTACAATAGCATCTATCCAGCACTAAGCAGATAACAGCTGCTTCTTCTTCCGAAAGTGTTTCATTTTAAATCCATGGAAATAAATTTGAATCATAATCTGTTCTTTATATTCCAGCTATGTTCAGTTTGCTAGGCATTTCACAAATTAAGGCATCAATCATCCTGCATCTTATAAGGAAATCTATTTGAAGTATCATGTAGTGAACTTAGTTTCTTCTAAGAGACATTTACATCATGAAAAGGTTAAGCTGCAGAATTTAGACAACTGTATGTTATGAATAGACAGCCCCAGGTCAAATTGCAAACACAGATGACTAAAAAGTGCAACATCGGTACAAATGCTTGGCAGTCACTATAATGCAAAACATCAAAAATATATTCATTGGAAGTAATTGCGGCCAAATATACAATTAAAGTCCAACTCCAAGACTCCACAGATCAATCTTAATAATCACCTCTGTAATATCCAGTTGGTAAACAATTATGACTGTGAATCAAGAGTCAAGCCTTGTCAACTTGTCAGTCTCCTTGGCATAGTCATGTGCGCTAAGTCATCATATGGTAAGAACTTTCTTTTTTATGTACAAACATTCAACACTGCTTTAACGGAGGAGGAATCCTCAAAGACACCATACACCATGGGGTGATGTTTTGATTCACCTAAGATATCATACTTGATATATATGCATTGTTGCCCTCTGTTCACATTTTTAAATGAATGCTGCCACTATGTAAAGTAACTAGATGGATGGACAAAGTGAGAAGACATTTATCAACAGTGTACATGCATATGTAGTCTTCTATTCAGGTATCCCGGCCTCAGCTAATTCCCCAATCCCAAACCTGTATCATCATTTCATTATATCAATACATAAACACATACCAATACACAATGGGAGGTGTTAATCTATAATGCAACAAATGCAATCAAATAAAGTCATCATAGAAAAGCAAAAATCTAAATCACCTTGTTTTTTTTCAACACTGGCATGGTGGCACCAGTGGGATATCAACCACTGATAATCAAAATGACTGGAACATGGTTCAATATTGGCATGACATACAATATTTCATAACCTTAGACCCCCGGAATTGCTAAGACACGTTTAAGTTTATGATAACAGAAACATTGGTTATTATAGGAAGTGTTTAAATGGATCATAACCTTTGTAATTGAGGTCAATTTAGAATAATTCTTTCTACTACATTTTGAAGTACATGTGATAAAAGTCTAAGTAAGGGATTGAAAAATTACTCATAATCAAGATTGCACTTTGAATACATGTGAGAACCTCTTTTAGATATTTCAATCCGGCGATGTCTTTTTCTTATTTCATCAACATAATTAGGCATAATTACATTTACTAATACACATACAGTAACTTTTTTAAGATTTTCTATGGATAGATAGGAAAGGCCTCTACTGCAATACTCTCAATCGCACATTCATCTGTTCCCCTTCTAATCCTGAAATACCCCTCTTCACCCCAACCTTCACCCCAGCTGTTCTTCACAATCCAAAACTTCTCCCCTGATCCCGCCTCAACACCATAACCAACCACAAGCACAACATGATTTGTAATCTCAAATGGGTTGAATTTGAGGTTTTCATTCTTAACACCAGTATGGTGGTATATCCCACCACTATATGCCATAAAGTCATCATAAACCATGAAACTGACGGCCAAGGGGCCATTCTTGACAAGTTGTGTTCTCATCAGTTCCTCTTTGCATCCCCCGTAGAATCCACCGACGTAGTTGTAGTTGGTGGCGTAATATCTTCTGCATCCTGCTTTCTCTTTGGAGCACGAGATGTCCGTCCCCTCGTATGGATAGCAGGACTCCTCTACGACACCGAAGTCCTCGGCGTACTTGCCAGCAACAAGATATGGGAATCCCCCTTCACATCCTGCAAAATTTACAATAAATAGCAACTTTGATTTTATATTTTCATTATGATTGGATGCTCAGATTATTCATTCATTGATCGGCTGATAATTACTTTCATGAGCACATATCCAGTATTTCGTCTCTGTGTATTTCACAATTTGTTCTGCAATGACCATTATCTACTCATATGCTCAGACTACAACCGTGAACTGACTTATTGAAAGGTTATGTCACATGAACTAAAATTGCTAACAGATAACTATATATCAACAAAAATAGAAACTACAAAATATAATTATACTTTCTAACATGTATCTCATAGATAATCCATTTTAAACCACATCATTACAGTTGTCTCAGATGGTCAAATCAGAGAATCAGATTTTGTTTTACTAGAAATTAAGAAACATTTTCAAAACCAAGAATCCCAATACAAAGATCTTGTTCCATAACCAAGCTGTAGGTCTACACTGTCAAACTGCGTAAACCAGCTGTAAGGATCAAGTTATAGGGAACCAAATTTTATATTTTTATTTTAAGGATACCATAGATTGACGGGAGTCGTTGCACACATGTAGCTAGGCTTACCACATGGAAACCATAGATACCGGTATGATATATGTGGGCACGGATTCAAGGAAGGGAAACTTTGTTTTACCTACTTCTATTGCTTTGACCTTTTACTGTACCGTACAATCCGGTGTATGGAATTGATTGCAGTTCAGTTGAGTGTTAATAAACAAAGAACCATGAAATTACCACATTGTCTCAAGGATAGTACATGTATGTAGATATCTCTACACATACCTTGTGAGTACTCGCTGCATGATACCACATCTTGGGTCGAGAAGACTAGCTGGATGCTGTTATTGGTTGCAATGCGTAATCTAGACTCCAGCATGGCCAGAGAGCCAAATGCGTAGCAGCTGCCACAAGAGGCCTGATTGCGGACCGGAGACACAAAGTTCTGTCCGCCATTCACATTCCGCCAGTCAAACCCGGGTGGCAATGAGGATGCTGCCCTCTTTGCCTGATTGGTGACAATCGCCGGTGCTGGTCTGGTGCGAATACAGGAAGGTTATCTTGTCTTACTATGGATGTGCTTATTATGACGTTATTTTGGAAACTCTCTCATTTTTTGTTCCTATTATGTTATCTAAGTTTTACTGCAGGCATCCATTTTCTACACATTTTTAAACATAAGTAGTCTATATTTGATAATAACGGTTTAGCTCATGAAATATATAAGCAGATTTTAGCAGGGTCATTTGACAGCAACTCATTCACACACATTTTGCTTTGGATACCTAGGATGACCCTCAAATGTCCAAGAAATTCAAGTAATAAGTGACATATACATCAATCTTGAATTATGGGAGGAAGCAAAACTCGTTTACAAGAGTATAGCTAGATCATTTTGAAAGGGGAGGGATTGTTGGACCTAATTTGCTGATGGGTTTTCTAAAACTTCCCAAATGAATGAATGAAAGAAAGAAAAAGTTCTGTTAGCAAGTTGTGGACAAGACTACAAATCCCAAATTTACTGACAGAAGTTTTTGTAATGGATGTTGTCACCACTCCCACCAACAATTCTCTTTAGATATGCCCCTGCAGATTATGGGTCCAGGGGGTGTTTCACAAAGATTCTAATTTGAACTTATCTCTAAGTTGGACTGAACAATTATGGAAAGCCGTTAGCATTTATGAAAATATTTTGTATAACTTATTTTTAAAGGCATAAAATGTTGATTTAAATCATTCATATTTTTTTTATTATCAAGGAGATTTCTTGGTATTAATGTGGAATTTATAAAAAATTATAAATACTTGAATATTCACTATTGAAAATATTTTATTTTAAGGCTACAAATGACTCTCCATAATGTTTGAGTCCAACTTAAAATTAAGCTCGTCTTAGGATCTCTGTGAAACACCCCCCTGATGGACAGATAGATGTGGATTAATACCTGGAGGATCCTAAGCCATTCATGGCACCTGCTCTCCTCCGCATATCTTCCACAGTATACATCTCATGCTCGGGATAGATGGTTGCATTCCAGGATTTCTGAGCTCTGTTGATCTTCTCTACCATCTTCTTATCGTTTCTGTACATCATCTGGCTGAAATCTGGACGCCTGGAATTAGATGGAAATTTTAAACATTCAAATTGGCAAATCTTGCAGAAGTGTCAATTTCTTTTTGAGTGATTCTAATACCTCAAACCAGCACAAAGCAGGGTTGTTTTTTCTTCTCCATTTGCTGAAGACCTTTTTATGTATATTTAGTGTTTGGCATTCAAAATAAAAGGAAGAAACACAGAATAAAAGAGTGCAAATGTCATACCTAAAAGCTTGAGGGTGCATGTCTACAGATTTGTGTGGGAGGCTTTAGCTTGTGGCAACCACATGTTCACAAATAAATTTGGTAGTTAGTCCCTTAAACCTTTACTACATGTACGTTCCAAACTATATTACATTTCATGATTCTATGGAAAGTGTGGCCCTCCTTAATATCAAGAGAGCAGAATACTAATAACTTTAGGAGCTGCATACTCAAGGTAAAGTAGCATGTACAAGCACTCTTTGAACATGTTTCATGCAGATGGAAGATGGCAAATTGCGTCTGAACATCAAGACTTTTGTAGTCATATCTTTGATAAACTTTTATGTGTAGAATATTTGCCCACATAAACAAGGGTATTTGAATTACAACAATATGTTTACTATCTCGTCTTATCCATAAATACAAAGAAGTATATACCGGTATGCACATAATCAAAGGACAGTAAGTGATGATGAAACTCCATAGAAATTTAGCATCCTTGGCAATATTAAACAGATTGGACTTTGTACCAATATCAAATTTCAGAGGTGAGGTGGTACATGGGGAAACTATGTACAGTTGTACTTAAGTAAGGACTTTATCACCCAAACTTCATCATACAAACAGTTTACACATTAAATACCAAATACTTAAATTTAACCAAATGTCGGGGCGGAAGGGTATAGAGATAAAACATTTATAATGCCTACATAATTGTTGTTCAAATAGACTTATTTAAACAAATGAAGATGATCTGTCTTTCATTCCGCTGCCATTGTTTTGAGAGCATTAATATAGAACAAAATCTAGATATCTAAGCTACTTGATAATTTTATACTACATATAACCCATATAGTTAATCCGATGTACATGTATTTTAATGGCTCATTGAGCAAGGAAAAAAAAAATCTGATTGCAAATGATTTTTTACTTGTACATACATGTAGTTACTCTTCTTGAAGCTTTTTAGTCTTTTGACCTTAGCATTCTTTGAAAAACATAATTTGACAATACCGGTAATTGTTTTTTTTTTTTTTTTTTTTTTTTTAACATCTTGTAGTAATAATCATTTTGATTGAAATGTTACTCTATATTTCTTTAAGTACATGTACTTTAGCATAGTTTCATGCACAGTCCAAACCCTTTAATCTAACTTGTGATTACAATATATTTATATTTATGATGCTCTTTGTTATTGACAGTTCTCATTGGAAGCTTTTTTTAAAACCAAGTTTCCCCAAATCAAAATATTCCTCTTTGAAATAAAAACACCTTACCTTTCTTTCCTGACAGTGTGTACCTTTGATGGACCCACCTTGCTGCCTACATAGCAAGCCCAGTCAGACCCAATTACATTGTGTGACCAACCAGGGAGGGTCTGAGAGCAATTCATGGTAACCTGGGATCGAGAGAGAAAATAACAAAAAAATATGTCAAATAAAGCCTTGATGAAGAAATATCATTCACAATTTTACAGAAATACCCAGGCTGTTGCTGCAAAAAAACTGAACCACTTATCATTATGTTTAATATTATTGAACAGTTTTCTGCTCTCTAAAAGTCTATGATAAATGAAGAGAGGGAAGACAGAAATTGAGGTAAAAAGAACTCTGTGGTAAATGTAAGATTTAAAAATGGATCAAATAGATTAAAACAGAGATCTACTTTTTGCTGATTTGATCAAGTAAATTCCAGCGGCAGCTTTATTCAAATTTGTTCTCTATGTCTGCTGAGCACATATATCTAATCATAACAAATTACAGTCCACAGATTTACTACTTGCCACGGTTAAAATGAAAAAATTAAAGGAATGAAATGAATTCAAACATGTAGACAATAACCAAGAAAGATATATGATAAAGTTCTATCGATATCTGGTATAAAACAGACAGACCTAAGGGGCAAGATTTGGGGAGATTCCAGAGCCAACTTCAACTCACCTGGCTTCCTTGTTGAGTGTATTCTGAGAAAGCAAAGTACTTCCTATTGTTGAGCACAACCTCAAAACCCTGGTTGTAAATCAGAGTCCAGAATCCTTTGGTACCATACTGGACATCAACTGCCACATCTGGGAAAAGCAACTGCACATGCAACTTGTATGTCACAGGACCTGACAAATAAAATAAATAAATTTAAAAAAAAACATGCTTGTTTATTTAGTATTTTACGTTCTTGTAAAAAAGCCTTTGTCTAAACATAGTTGTAAATAAAGCCCTCAAAACGTTGCACTTCAAACTTCTATTAAATACTTCAGCCTTAAAATTAAAACTTTAAGTTGGAAAATCTCAAGCAGAACCCCTTCCCTTTTAAAAGAAATTTACAATAATCAAAGAGAAAAATTATATACTGTAGTCTCAATAATAATTACTTTACAAACTTTGCATAAGTATGAAGTAAGGAAAAACACAAATTAGTCAACTTTCTACACTGTAGATCTACACCCCTTTAAAACAACAGTTACATTTTTAAATGCAGCATGTGAATATACATTACTGAAATATTAAAGCTCATGTAGAGAATGTCAACTCCAACAATAAAAGTTAATTCTTTGTATAGCTATAATAGATGTTTTTAACAGAACTTTGAGCAAGTACATTAAGAAACAAAATTATAATTCTATGTGTGCTGTCATCTCTATGAAAAAACTATCTTCAACCTATTGCCAAATTGCTGACATGATTTAACTTTTTTTCAACATATCAATACAAGTGAAGTAGAATAATTTTTTCTCCTATAATCAAAAGTACAAAATGAATTACCGGTAATGCATTTATCAAAATGTTTAATTGATGGATCATGGTGCTATGACAAGCTGCTCACCAAATAATGATATCAAAATAAATCCTGTCAAATACAAAAGTAGAACTCTGCATGAATCTGAAGTTTTGTCTAACTGATTTGCTATCTTCATAAGATGACACATCATCACATATCAACATTTAATAGCTTTGAAGAGCTTGATTACTTAAATAGCCTAATAAGTGAATCAAACAATGTCAAAATTAACTTAGTTCATTAGGCATCTCTTTTCAACCATTACATCGTTAATAATTTCTTTTTCCAGTTTTAGTTTAATTGACCCAGTCTGGCCTATCCTGATGATCGATCTATCATGATCTAGATCTGGATCTACTTGAATGTAGACTGTGCATAGTCTGACTTTAGACGTTTTTAAATTCCTAAAACAAGTTCAACCATATATTAGCCTACATAAGACCTAAACAATTAAATAATTTTATCAAATTGATCAAAGAGAGAAAATGTACGTACCTGGCTTTGTGCAATCAATTTTGTTGTCACCGCCATAACCGCTGACCTCGAAAATCCATTCCCCGGCGACGTCTTCGTACGTGCAATTTGCCGGCGTATCACCGACCACAAAGGCAGGCACTACTGCCAACATGAATATCACAGCATAAACCCTCATGATTATGTCCTATCCTCTTCCTTTTTTAAACTTTCTTTATATTCTATCGGGAATTTCAGAAAGGCTGCTTTGCCGTATCACTGCCTTGTAGTTGTATACTGTATACTGCACTGCACATCACAGCGAGCATGCATAGCTGATCAGCTGCAAAAGTCACAAGACGCTGGTCAGGTGACATGATCATATGATACAATCCGGGGGAAACACTCCCATTAATTTACGGGGTCTTTAAAATATAATATTTGATCGATTCGGGTGTTCCGCCTTGCCAAAAGGAATAATCTTTGTAATGAAAAAACTCACAAATAAATTTCTCAAATGATCATCGATAACTTAGAGATTAAAGTATTACATTTAAAAATAATCATTTCAATGTACTTTTAAAATGACCTGTGCGTCAGGTCGTGATGAAAGCTCCTTCATTATGAATACAGAACACAGTACAATATTCTAATGCATGCATTGTGAATGCAAAATTGCGTTGTTGTCCGATAACATCTCTGATTGTGATTGTGACCGTGCTACACGCATGTAAACTCATCTAAGTTAGCGACAATTCGACAGTACATTTAATTAATTCATCTCTTTTCATACAAAAGGACTCGAAATGTTATCAGTTATCAACAAATTCCTGGACTGGCTGAAAAGCCTTTTCTGGAAGGAAGAAATGGAGCTTACTTTAGTCGGTCTTCAGTATTCTGGAAAAACTACATTCGTCAATGTGATTTCGGTACGTTATTCGTTAATGCAATCCACCCACATTACAGAATGTGTCTGTGACTGAGTGTACTTGAGTCATGTTGTTGAGTGACTGACTGTATGGTGAGGGTCCTACATGTCACTGTAGACTTACATGTAGACTATGTCTGCACACCAAACATTTCATTTGAAATTGAAAAGAATTTTCTGTCATATTTTTCAATGCAATGCTTGATCTCGTCTGTTTTTGTAGAGAGTAAAATGTGCCGAAATCTCATCAATATTTGGGTAAAAAAAGTGTCATTTGCATTGCAAAAAGAGAGGTGGCTGTTTAATTTTGATATCGCAAAAAACAAAGGTTCTCATGTCTGCGCACTCATTCAATTTAAACCTCCCAGAGTCCAATTTTTTTTCGATGTAACTTAAAGATGGCATTTTGAAATGTGAGGCTGGTGATGTGAATAAAGACTTTTCTCAATTTTTTTTAACTTTTGAGTTTTGTGTGTGTGTTTGCGTGTGCGCTGTGCATGACTCTAGATCTAAACTAGATCTAAGTCTAAATAATATGAAGAGTTCATGTTCGTTATCTTTTTTTCTTTTTTTAAGAATTGCGTATTTATTTAATTTAATTCAAGTTGTCAAAGTTAAAACTAAGAGGTGAAATAGCACTTAATCATAACTTTTAATGAACTTTTCACTTTATGTTGTTGTCTACTGGTATTTCAATAACTTTTACATGTGTACAGTACATGTATGACATGGATGGTATCTACATGTTAACTAGCATATTGCCACTTCAGTTTTACAGAGGGAAAAAAAAAACGTTGGTGCAGTACAGTTGAACCTGAATCTACAGACGCAACCGAAACAGAAACAGAAGGGCTTCAATGATAATATGACATGTACATCCAATATTGGCCTACGATACATGTGGGCTTACCATAAACTTTAAACTTTATTTATACTATCCAAATTCCAATTTATCCAATTGATTTTATGATTTCTTCATCCTAATCTATTTTTGTTGTTACCTGCAACTTTAAGAGAGGTATTCTTTTGTCTTCTCTGTGAAAGTTTTCTTTTCATTGCACATCCTTGTATTGGTTGTTATTCTTCAGTGTTACTTTACATGTATAGATTGTATCACTCTTCAAGTGTACATTTGTTAAATGTCTCAGAGAGGCGGGGAAGGGGGAGATGGAATCAGGAAAGTCAGAAAAGAATTAAAAAATCTAGAAAGACATTTAAAACATGTAATCAGTGATCAACAACTTTAGAGAGATGATTTATTGTGGGGGAAAATGAAAATTCACATATCACAATATAGAGAGTCGTCCCTCAAAAGTACACTATGCAAAAAAATACTTGTAAACAACCAAATTTACAGTAAGATTTCTGTATCTCCATAGTGATAAAAAAAAAGTCACCACTGTTTTGTTCTTTGTCTGATGACTCTGATCTTTTTAATACTTTTACTGATCTATTTGATTTATTGCTTCCACTCACGTAGAAACTTTCATTCTACTTACATGGAAGGATTTATTAATCCCCACCAGAAATGTGGATGTGACCATGATAATGATGCTACATGTCAATTATGGTTTTGTTGTGTGAGTACAGCGAGTAACGTCTACAAGCGCTGTTATTGTAGTGCTAGAGGTATTATCAATTAATCATAGTATGTAATATAACCATGAACTTCCTGTCTCAACTTCTCCCAACAGTCTGGACAATTTAATGAAGACATGATCCCCACAGTAGGTTTCAACATGAGGAAAGTTACGAAAGGAAATGTCACAATAAAGGTAAGTGTACCGGTACTTAAAGATTAAAACTGTCTTGATTTATTATAAATAAATAAAAGACAAGACAGCTATTGCTACGCCTGTACTTGAGTTAATTTTGTCCATATTATGAACATTTTGAGTGAGATTTTATCCTCAACGTTTAATTTTTCTAAGCTTTCACTTGTATTGGTTCATTAACTGTAATAATTAATAAATACCAAGTCATTAATTATTTCATAGACTGCAAGTATGATTCTTCATGCATTGCAAAACATTGATAATTTACGGATTTTTTTTTCTGTCGCAAATTAAATGATGGGTTTGTTATGATATTTGGCAAACTATAACTATGCAGTTTACCATTACATGGAATACCTGTAGATACATGTATATCTTTTGTAACACAATACCTACATGTAGTGTTACATGTAGTATCAGTTCCCTCTGTTTTTTTCTCACATTCTCTGTTATGTACATGAACATGTAAACAAGTGCAGTGTTATCTATTTTCTGTTGTTTCGAATTACTCCATAATGTATCAACGGTGAATTTTTGTGTTTTCTTTACTTCAGAAATTGCAGTCAGATTAAGATTTTATTTTAATTTCACTCTTAACCTTTATACATGTAGTTCGCCAAGTATGTAGCAATTTGCTGACTAGTATCATGTAGACATTTTGTCAAGTTATATACCTTTTTTTCTCAACATTTTGTAGTAAATAGAAAGCAGACTAATCAGGTACATGTTTAGCATCACATTGCTGCAGTAGGTTTCACTTTCATGTTCATTGGATCATGTACCTACTTCGCTCTATGATCAGATATTTGATAACATAGAAACTACTTTTTATTGTTCTTCTAGCTTTGGGACATTGGAGGTCAGCCTAGGTTTAGGAGTATGTGGGAGAGATACTGCAGAGGGGTCAATTGTATTGTGTAAGTTCTCCTCTCTTTCCTCAAGTTTTCTTTTCCCGTACATCTCTAGGCATTTATGTATCACATGATTCTTTTAATCCATTGCTTACTTGAACCGGGTGGTCCCTGTAGCAGACCTGCCAACCAGTACGATTTAGTCGTATTTAGTACTATTTTTAGAAGTAAATACGACAGTAGGATTTTCCTCAATAAAATACAATTTTCAAAAAACAATTTTTTTTTTTTTTTTTTTTAATTTTAAATAATTAATTTTGTGTGTGCCATTTACAATGGCCAAATGCCCACTCTGTCCTTTAAAGTATCCTACAAGCATCTCACATCTGCAATTTGGGGATGTTGATTGGTTCATCGAACACAGCAGTCGTGATGTAATCATGCATATTCAACCAATGATCCATAAAAAAATTCTTCCGGGTAACAGTCTGTGTTTATCTTTAAGAATACAACTTTTGTCAGTAAAATACAACTTTTGGGATTAAAGAATACAGTTTTTGAACTCCAGAGGTTGGCAGGTCTGCTGTAGTAAGCCTATGGGAAATGGAGAATTTAGTAACCACCAAATTAACATACATCATTACATGTATGTTACAGAGAGCAATGTAAAGAATCAGTGTCGATCTGATGAAGGGAAATGAGCTCAAATATATCTAGATATTTAGAATGACCAGTAGTCAAATGCAGATTTACATGCAGTCATTTGTGAAGTGGCGCTTGATCTTTAAAATGTTTTGCTTCCATTAAAGTCTGCATGTACCGGTACATGATGTACATGCATGTTTTTCTTCAAAAGAGGAAGTTATGGAGAAACATATTGTGGTACAGATTTGTTAATGGACATTGGGCACATACGGTTATGGCAAGTGTGATGATGTTGATATTAGAAGTATTTTATGATCTGTGTATTTTTAGGACAGAGGCAAGGCCATGTACTTTTTTGTTGGACAACCTTCAATAAATTTGCAAGGAAAATAAAAGCGGACTTGTAATACCATCAGAATGTTAAAAATCAACTTCAATGCGAATACATCCCCCAATTTTTTTTTTTTGTAAGCTATTTTGTAAATTAATATTTTCTACTGATAAAACGGATAAAAGAATATGGAGAGTTGATTTTGAGGGCTTACCTACATACAAGTACATGTATACTAGTCATGTTTTGACAAAGGAAATAAATATACTTTGGGTAGAATATTATTTTTTAGTTATTTGTTACCTTTTTTTTTTTGTGCAGGTATATGGTAGATGCAGCTGACCATGAAAAGTTAGAAGCTTCAAGGAATGAACTGCACAACTTACTGGACAAACCACAACTCCAAGGAATACCGGTAAGTAAAGAACATCTTCAAAACAAGTGCATTCATCATTTGTCTCAAAAATTCTCATATCAAGTCTTGATTTTGAGATTTATGGACAGGATGAATAGGAAAAGGAAAGTATTTTGAGAGATTAAAGTTCCAATACTATTTCATACATTAATTTAATATATCAAGTACAGTATGTGATGACTAAAACTAAAAAGAAATCAATGTATATGTGAATTCCAAAAACTGACATTTTGGGGCTATATTCTAGCCTCGTGCTGTTTGTAAGTGTAAAGTGCAAAGTATAGATAAATTAAGAAATGTAAATTTTCACCTCAGACTTATATCAACTTTGCATTACATTGTACATGTACTTCATTGTTTTGAGAAAGCAGTCATTTCTGACAATTCATAAAACAAGTTCATGTATTATGAAGATAGATGATGGCTAAAAAAAGCAAATCCTTACAGACTGATGAATAGCAATGAATGTATGTAATACACAATATACGTGTAAGGCATGATACAGTACATGTATGTACTGTAGTAATAGAAAATCCATTACAAGCGTTTTAAACATTGAGTAAGGTAATAGATCAAGCAAAATATTAGTTTTGGTATCCATATTTTCCCCCAGAAATCTTTGCCACAACATTTCCATCTTAACTACATGTAGATAAAAGTTAATCACCCCATATAATATTGAAGGACAATCCTGCAAGTAGAGAGTTCTGTCAACGCTTTTATTGCCGCTGATTCTTAAATTTGTGTTGCACCAAATTCAGCCCTTTCAAAACACGCATAAGAAGTCTTGTTTATATTTTCGTGAGTTCTAAAATTTGGGCTTGTCGATCTTAGCGCAAAATCCACGAAAATTAATGTACCGCGAATATTTCTACTTAAATTACAGTTTTTTCATTTGTTTCAAAGTTCCTTACAACCTTAGAGTCCTTCGATTGTCTGGTAGCTTTGGTTGCATTTTGGAATCAATCCTATCGTTGAGTAAATGTTCATGTGATTGAACACTTCCTTCCTCTTATTGGATTGTAGTAGACTGCAACAATAACACTGTCATATCCCCATACAGGATACCTTGAAGAAATGTCTAGTTTTCACACTAAGTTTGAAGTGATGTGTAATTTTGTTTGTCACAAGTATGATTTAAATACATAGCAAATTAGCAATGATTAAATGCTCCTAAACTTTTATTTGTTCCTTAAAAGGAATCCTCAATTTGCAGTACCAGTTTAAATAATTTTCTATTTCTGCTACATGTACATGGCACTTGAGAACTACATATACATATACGAGTACATTGATAGAAAATTCTAAGAAATTGAAAATGTCTGCAGGCCACTACATTTGTTGTGGACATAGTTAGTTTTGCATGTTACAAGCGTTTATTGTCCTTAACTAATACAACGTTTGGGGGAATTTTGAAAATTGGGTGGATAGTGATTCTTTACAATTTTGATATATTTGGATGCCCCTGTGGATGCATTATAAGCACTAGAAAATTTAACCCCTAAAACACTGCTGCTTTTCGAGAAAAATTGCTCCTGGTAAATTTTGATAAATTTCAAATAGCGCCTACGGCCGTACAATGGTAGCTGCGACCACGAAAATCTCAGAATATGTAGTTGTGATATATAATTTCCAAAGGGAAAAGCTAATCGGTCAATTTTAGTCAAGAAACATTGTTTAAAAGCTTATTTAATATCTTGACCTTGAGAGGGAGCTATACAACATAAAGAGTTTATTATTTACAATTTCATAACTTTAGACTTGATTTCAACCGCGACAACAATCACTGAATTTTGTAGGATCGCATATGCTTCCAATATGTTCATTTGAACAAAATTCATGACCATATACATGTACGAAAACTTTGTAGTACATGTACCTATATTGTATTTCCAATCACTCATGCCACAATTTCATAGATATTAATAATTTTGACACTGTTGTTGTGCCACAATAAACAGGTCTTTTGTCATCATCTTTATGTCGGTTGACAGAAGAAAGTCAAGCCATCATTGATATATACAGTGTAGCTCTCCTTTGTTAACAATTTGTTGTTGTTGTAATGGTATGCTAACACTTATGATGGAGAAGGTGAAATACGGTGTTGCATAGAGATCTACATATGAGGCCCTACATCTAATTCTTACTCTATATTGTCACAAGTCTGTGACTGTAACTACAGCTTCTCTGAGATCTGTGAACAGAAGTGGAATTCTTTCAGGAGTTTGTAGTTAAATTGGTTTGCTACATACATGTATCTTCTAATGTAGAAAACTGCACAGTAGACATAAACATGTATTCCTCATTGTATACAACCAGGCAAACCCCCAAAAGTTTTCCATTTGACTCATAAAAAGTGTATACAGTATTTAGGGCATCTTTGAATTGGCTACCGTAAATCTCTGTGGATAAGACGCACATGTGTATAAGACACACCCCCCTTTTTTTTTTGCTGACTCTGGCGGTAGCGAGCCAAGTCCGTGTTAAAAAACCCACGCAGGAAGGGCTTTTATTGTAGTGCGAGGTGCAGTTGAAGCCCCCATTTGTGCTTGCGAACTTGTCACACAAATAATAGTAACAATGTCAGGTGCTGCTTATAAGTATCGGCTTGCATGGTGATGTAGATATACAGTAGGCTTGTGGTTGCATCATGTGAGAGAGAGGGAGGATTGGGAAGTCCTGAAAAGGACTCTCGGTAATCTTTCTTTCTTGAGTGTGTGTAGTCCTGAAAAGGACTGTTGGTGTAGTCTTGAAAAAGACTGTTGGTTATCTTTTTTATCAAACTATAAGCTAAGAAAGATAACCAACAGTCTTTTTCAAGACTACACCAACAGTCCCTTTCAGGACTTCACACGCTCAAGAAAGAAAGATTATCGAGAGTCCTTTTCAGGACTTCCCAATCCTCCCTTTCTCTCACATGGTGCAACCGCAAGTCTACTGTATAGTAACAATGTCATTTTTAAAACTAAAGATGACAGACAAATTTCCCTCTAAGTCCAAACAGAATCCAGACAGATAGTGTTGTTCTAGTTTCCGAGTGGTGAGTCAACACACCGATTTCTGAGCTGGGAGACATTGCCAGGCATAGTGACAGATGGAGGGGAATAAATCGAAACTTTCAACAACAAAACAAAAATTTAATCTGTGTATAAGACGCAGCCCCGACTTTCTATTTTTTTTTTTTGCGGCAAAAAAGTGCGTCTTATACACTGAGATTTACGGTACTTGATATTGACGCTCTACAAATTCCCAGATCGTACTAGATTGGACAATTTGTTCCAAGTGCTTACCGGTACCCTGCTTGTAGTTTTGTTAATGTAGCACATCAATGATCTCAAGTTAGTTCCTGGTAAGTAAATTCTCATACGGTATAGGACACTTTTATGTACACACATAAGGCCTGCTTTCATCAGCTCAAGATTGCCAAGTAGCCCACTATTTCTGATTTGGGAAATACTCCAGAAGTTACAAATCACGTCTTCGTCAGCTCGAAACTCGAGCTCGAGAAAATAGCTTGAGATATTTTGCTCAGCGTAATTTTGGTAAAGACGCACCGGACAAATAGCGGGATATTTTGTAAACTAGCCCAAGATATCTTGGGATGATTATCTTGACCAAATATCCCGCTAATTGCAACTTTGAGCTGATGAAGACGCAAATTAAGTGGATAATTTGCGATCGGAACAGTTCAAATAGCATGATATTTGACAATCTCGAGCTGATGAAGACAGGCCTGTATTGAGAGATTACTTTAAGTGTAATCCATCTTACTTCTAACCTCCCTCAGGTTCTGGTACTGGGTAACAAGAGAGACATTCCTGTAGCATACGATGAGAAAGAACTCATAGAGAGGATGAACTTATCAGCGATTCAGGACCGAGAGATCTGCTGTTATTCCATCTCGTGCAAAGAGAAAGAAAATATCGGTAACTATCGCACAATATTCCCAGTTTTGTATGTTCTATTATTTATTGCCGATCTTTGAATTTTACAATTTAAGCTTTATGTAGCAGTGCTTGCATTATGGTTATCATTAATGATGATTTACTTGGTTCAGCATCTGAATGTAATTAGCCAGGTTTGTCATATGACAATTTTCACTGTTTTTTGAAATTTTGAAATAATGCTAATGCAGCAGTGCAAAGATATCCATGATTCAATATGAAGTAACAATTTCACTTTCATTAAGCTTGAGGTGCTGCCATCTTGATGTGACGCCAGTGCTAAAAAAAAATCAGTTCTTAAATTGTCTATTTCCCTATTTCCCCATTGCCAGATAAGTATCTAGTCACTTTGTTTCCTGCTTATTCTAGGGATGTTCATACAACTAAATGTATTTATTCTTCTCTTCTCTACTCTTTGCTTCACTAGATATCACATTGCAATGGCTGATACAGCATTCAAAGTCAGGGGGCAGCCGCTAGGGAGCTCGTTCTCCTTCTCTCAAACAGCTTCAATGGCGAGAAGACCAATATAAATATTCATAACATTATAATTATTGTCTATTGTGTATATTATGTTAGATAAATTGGGGGGAAAGATGGAAGAAATTTATAAGGAGAAAACAGGAGCAGATATGAATGGCCAGGTAATATATGACTGAAAAATTATCTTTGTGTTTTTTATGTAACTTTGCTTTTTTCTATATTTCAAGTTGTCCAGTTATACATGTTGCAAACTCCTTTTTTTGTTGTTAGCTGCTTCTCTTCAACCTGATTTCTATGAATTTGTAATTTTCTTGTCAAAATTTGGAGTAATCTTCAATAATTTTGATTAGATATACTGTATATCATGTTATCTTCAAAGGATTATTTATGCCTGTTGTTGCCATAAGTACATTCAGTCCAAGATGGTAAATACCTTTGTAGAGGTTAATATATTGCATGTTATATAGCATAACACTATGTCTACAGCAAATATGTCTTTTGACAGACTTACCATATCAAACTTTATTTTCTTGTCAGGGCAAAATTGTTTTCACGATGAGACAACCAGATGATTATATTAATGTCATGCTTTACTGATAGGGCGTATGTTGACAACTTAGGTATGCGTTTTACTTATGATGTAGTTTGTATTCTATGCAAGAGTCGAATATGAATGGGAGATAGCAGCATAATTTTCAGTCTCTTTGCCAGTCACAAGTTGATTTCTGAAGAAAATGATCAAACCAGTATGAAACGGTTTTCCTTGCATACATTATGTAGCATACCCCAATACTAATAGAAATAGCTGCAGAACTCTTTTTTTTTGGGGGGGGGGGGGGTTAAGTGATTCATGAAAACTGATAATGATCAAATGCATGTCAGTGAATTAGATGTCTTTATATGTCGGAATGAAATTTCTGCCCTGCTTAATATTCTTAAGTCTTTCCATCTCATTATGCTCCCCTTGTTTCATCTTGTACTGTGTATTCTAGACATTGTGTACAGTGATTGCTTGCTTATTAGTCTAGTTGAGACTGTAATTAGCAGTGGCTTTGATAATAAGTGCAATCTGAAGAAGAAAAAAAATTCTGGAAAGATCCCATTTGGAACGGGATATATATGTACATATAACCCACCCCAGCATAGCTAATACTGGTATGTGTTGTCATAGAGTTTTAGGTTTAAGAATATCAACAATGAAGACAGAAATGTACATTAGCGTGTAAATCAATCTTTGAAGAGCATTTAATCGTATATGAAGATTATTGTGTTTTCATCAATTACTGTATTCTACATCAAATATACTGGTTGAAGTGAATATATATTTGAAATGAAAGGAAATTTTTTCATGCATTGGACATACATGAGAACATCTCATATAAAAAGTATGTACCATCATTGAAATATGAACCATCTTGCAGAAAAGGTATCCATAAAGCACTAGTGATTTTATATACATGTATTTCATTTGATATACATGTACAGATATGATAAATATTTTGTTTATTTGACAGCAAAACTAGCTATTTTGTAGAAACATGTAGCTGCATAATCATCAGACAAATCATCTGCTTGGAGTCCGAGCCAGAAGGGCTTTAACTCGTGCACTTTAACACAGAGTTGCCGTAACGCCTTTCTGGCTTCGGACAGAAGATATTATTCATGTCTTCTTTATAAAAAGCAGGGTGGTCCCATATGTTTTTAATGTGGATGCCGGCTAGTGATGTGCATCCGGTCTGCCCAAAATACACCATTACTCATTTAAAATTAGTTTCTGTAGCTACCTGGTATAGAGGCAAATAGGCCTGATGTTATCAACAACTAAGACCCCGTTCTCACTCACTTCGTTGGAGCGCTCTGGAGCACTCTAACTAAGACCCGCTCCTCAGGAGCGGTTCTTAGGTGAGTGAGACCGCTCAAAGTGGTCCAGGAAGCGGACTTCTGGACCGCTCCAGAAGTCCACCTTCCGAGGTGGTCTTGAGGAGCGGGTCTTATTAAGAGCGCTCCAGAGCGCTCTAACGTGCAATGTGAACGGAAAGCGTACTTTGAGCGGAAGTGAGCTAGTGACGTTCCGTGCGAAACATGTAGTACGGTACATACGGTTTGTATTCCGCGCGCGAAAAAATTGACCCGCCTACCTGAGCTGCCATAGCAACAAGACCACTTTGACTCGTGGAGCGGTTTGAGCCATAAAACCTGCTCGGAGTGTGAACGCTCGCAAACCGTTCCTCGAGACCCGTTCCTCTGGAGCGGTCTGGAGCGGTCTAACTAAGACCACTTTCAAAGTGAGTGAGAACGGGGTCTTAAGCACATCAACTTTTTTCTTGATCATAACTGTCCAAGAGCAATGCATGGATAATTGAAAATGTTAGGAGTTGGTTTATAAGATGCACTTTCGTGTAATTGTTGTTCTCAAGGACCATCATGTGATTATAAAACAAGCAAAATCGATGCTTTAGTGCTGTTGAAATGTAACGTGGTCTTTGTCATTGCTCAAATAAAATGAATTTTAATTATTCCTGGTCATCACTGAATAGATTCTGTATGCAGTCTTACATTAGATGATTAGTGCATTGTAACTTTTTTTAAATCACCTACACTCTTTATGTACATTTATACCAGGCAGCTTTTTAAAATATATTTATGTTGAGTATAAGAACAGTAAGCTAAAAAAGTTATTTCACCAAAATTCACCAAAATTTAGTACACACAATAATACTTCTCTATAGAATAGTGTTTCTGTTCTTTTTTTGTATACATTTTGGTACAACAGTTAAACCATTTTAATTTTCTTTTTTATTATTTTAAACAACCATTTTCTTAGATATTGGCATGGTTAATATTGATGATATTTCTTATTTGATTACTTTATTTTGTAAAGACCTTCCCGCCCCCCCCCCCCAAAAAAAAAAACCCTGTTAAAATTGTTAAGCATTTAAATGATATTGACAATTTAGCTTTAAGTCTTGTCATGTAACATTGTACAAATCATATAATTTATAATGAAAACCTGCAATTTATTATGTAACAACAAAGTGATTACATGTTTGTGGTCGACTAGTTATTTCAGTTTTACCTGGACTTTCTTTTTGTATGTTCATGTACAGTATATGTTAAATCTATTGTATTTCAGACTAGACTTTATCGATTGTGATTGTGTTTTCTATGAAATTGATCAATGTTGTTTAATAATCTTTATTTGTTATGATGCATATATAACACCTGAACCCTAACCAATGCTTAGAAGAAAAAAAAGGAGTATGATTCTTCCTACTATAGAAAGCATATTATTGAATACTCCAGTGTGATGATTTGTGGTTACATGTAGGTATATTAAACAGAAGTAAATAGATGACCACAGTTATTATATTTAGCTGCACTACAATATTACCAAGGAAAATACTTTCTGTTGGTGTATTTATACGGATTCACTGCATTTATCTTTGGAAAATTGCATAGAACTTGCTTGCTTGCGATTTAATTACAAAGAAAAATCAGTTTAGCTCCAAAAAGTGATATGCATGAATGTAAAGCACAGCAACACTTGCCTACCGGAAATTTAAAACCAACCATTGTTTTAAAAAGCAAACGGTTTCTTGATGCATGAAAAGTTCTCATGTATGACTTAATCATACTTGACGTTATTAACGGTATGTGAAAATATATTTATGAAACAGATTAAATACTCCCACCTTCAACTCTCATTTTATTGCCATTTAAAGAGGCAAAATTTATGTTTGAAAGGTCAATTCTGTTCCATATAGGCAGGCATGGGCTGCCTTTATGCCAACTTAAAATCATCGATATTGGAGTCATTATATTTGGTCGATTTTGCCAGCAAATTTGTAACCGAATTGTAGGAGCTGCTATTCATTCTTTAATAAATGTTATTTAACAGGGGCCTGGAGACATGAAATCAAGGAAAATTTTTCCACTTTCCTTATTATAACTAGTGATCGACCAGGTTTTGTCTAATTTTTTTTGTGGTCTTTTCTTTTCTTCACAAATTATATTATCTAAAAAAAAAATGGGCAGTTTGAAAAATTGTACCCTGCCATCAAATGGGCATTACTAACATGCACCAAAGCTCTATAGCCATTTGTTAAACTGCTTGTAAAGTGGTCATTAATTCCTTTTTTGTAAGCAGTAGGATATGATTTGCTCAAGCTTGTAATATTTTAGAATTTGCTTAATTATACCTTGGCTTTGTGTGACATTGTAAAATTATTTATACTCTTTTAATCGGTAAGGCACACTCACACTCTTAGATGGTAGCAATCACAACACTTGTGTATTAAAATGATCAGTTGAAAATAAATGACTGGTACAACATGTATATGTACTAAAACAGTTTGCAAGTCTTTTTATTTGTTGTGTCCATGCTGTATTAAAGGAAACCAAAACCTTCATACTAAGTTACTTTTATTGTAAAGTTTAAAAGATTTGAATAAAATCAGTGAAAATTTGAACAAAATCGGGCAAGGAATAAGGAAGTAAGAGCTTTTTGAAATGACTAGTCACTAGAGGGCGGTATTCAATTTGATGACATCATCTGTGAACAACTCTCCATGCCTTTTGAACATAAAATTTCACAATTTTTTTGTTTTCTTCGTATTTATTTTTGTTCTTGATCCGACTTCATAACATGTGAAGTAGAATATCATTTTGCATTCTATATCTTGCTTTCGGGGGAGTACATTATCTCAATCACAAGAAAGAAGGAAAAACATGAAATTTGATGTACAAAAGGCATGGAGAGTTGTCCACAGATGATGTCATCAAATTGAATACTGCCCTCTAGTGACTAGTCATTTCAAAAAGCTCTTACTTCCTTATTCCTTGCCCGATTTTGATCAAATTTTCACTGATATTTTTCAAATATCTTAAACTTTACAATAAAAGTAACTTAGTATGAAGGTTTTGGTTTCCTTTAATGTGATATATGCAACAGTATGAAGTTTACAGACTTTCAACGAAGGGATGAAAACCCCAGAATATACACAAAATCTATCTTAAAATCAAACAGAAATAGTATATCAGCAGAAAATTGGTATGAAATGGATTTTCAATCCTTTTATTTTCAAAGACATGATTATAAAACAATTATCTTTTTAATCGAGTCATCTTTCCTGCGGACACTTCAGGATTAACTGGTTTCACTGTAAACTGTCTTTAACTTGCAGAAATACAAGAATTCATTTCTCACTGCCCACAAAGCTACATGAACATTATCGAGGGGTTAGTGACACAAAGGCCTAACTCCATTTTGAGAAAAAGGGGTTCATGTGTCACTGAGCACTTGGGCCTTAAGGAGTTAAGTCTATGTTGCACTAGCCATCGACTTCAATGGGGTGTTGGGTTGACTGGAGTCTTTGTGTTTCCTGGAAAGCCCACATTTTTCTGAACATTTTGATATTAAATACTTATTTTGGCAAAATATGGAGTTACGTCTTTGTGTCACTGAACCCTTGATATGTATACAAAAAAAAATCAACCCGACATTCTTTATCAATACTATGGTAGCATAGCAATTCTCACAGATCTTACAACATTGAGTATAAACAGTTGCTCAAGTTAATCTGTGATAATCAAAATCTTTTTTCCAAGACAAGATTATTTAACATGAGATGATGAGAACAATATCAAAGGATCATGTTTGCAGATTACATATGCATCAATAAAAGGCAATAGAGATACGCAGCCACTCAACAGGATCACAAAGCATCTTTATTAAAGCAACATCTTCAAAATTAATTAAACTATGACAATGGTTGTGTGAAAACAGTAAATGGTTCTATGTCTTTCATACTACCCAATAAATATTATAGTAGGCACAAGAGGTAATTAGTTAATTGGGAATGCACCACATTACAACAACAAAAGAAGAGCGATGAGAAGGGAACCCATTGTGTAGCACCAATAAAGCATGTAATAAGCTTAAAGATAAACTTAAGTTCTGGTACCGGTATATAAAATTTTAAAAATTCTCACAAAATCTGACGAAACTTGCACTGAATGTTGAAGATTACAAATACATAACATGTGCCAAACAATTTTGGTAGAAAATGTATAGTTGC